ATGATACAGAAGTTTAATAACATTAATATGTATGATGATAAGTGATGATTGATGACTTAACCAGATTAGTCTACTAAGAACAGATAAAGGGTATTGTTCAACTTTTTACAACCTGTGTGCTTCTCTTCTATTCCTATTTTTAACCAGTCTAATATTTGACATATCTGGTCAAAATTCATTGTTTGGAAGAGTATTTGAATTGATTCTTTGTATTCAGAATATTGAACACAGTATATTATCTTGTATAAGTAACAGATACAGATACAGGTAGCCCTCGGTTTACGCCGATTCACAATAATGCCACTATGCAGTTCGCCGTTTCGGTGCAATTGTTGTGTAATTCCCTGATGCTAGATTTGACTAGATTTTATCCAGATTTGACCAATCCTAGTGAGACACGAATTTACTACACCACATGTCATGGCAGAATCGTGGCTCGTTGGGATTGGTCAGATCTAGACGAATAGCGAACGCTTCACAAACCGTTAGATTTGAATGAGCTGTGGACTCGACAGAGCTACAGAAGAATGACAAAGAAGAAACTCCAAGAGTTATGAAAACTGCTGATCTAAAGCATGCATATCCTTTCAACTATGGAAAATTTGACAGATGAACTTTTGAGTTAGACAATGATTGGGAGCGAAGTGCAAATGTAAAAAGGAGCATAATCGCATCCATTCGACCATATTCCGAAATTTATAATGAAAGAAAACAAAAATGTAAACAATTAAAGATGGATACTTTTTTCCAAAAAATGTAAGAGATCTGAAAGTAAAATTTTTAATAAAAACATTTCACTTTATTTTATGATATAAATTTAATTTTTAAAATATATTTTATGTCTTTTGTACAGGTAACCCCCGTATAACATGGGAGTTACGTTTCAAAAAATTGCTGTGTTATGCGAATCCATGTTATACGAAACAAAGAACTAGTGCCAAAAGGGGGGGTTAGGTTCCAAAAATTAAAAAAAATGCTGTTAAATCCTTCATTAAATTGGATTTATTATTAATTTTTTTTATGGGTAAAATACTTATTTATTATTTAAGTAAATATTTTATCAGAGGATTATTCATCCTATATGATGATCTCAGCATGAGCATCATCAACTGGTAACAGTTTTTGGGTGTGTTTGTTAATAGCGGTCACTCTGCATCTCCACTACAATGGGAGTGCGCTGCTGTTTGTAGGCATTTAAGAACAATGGTGAAAGAAAGATGGCATCGCCTGCACTATCAATAGTATCGTGATGGAATCTATAATTCTAAAATATGAGTTTTTAGAGGCAAAAGAAGGGTCCCAATTGTAAAATTTAACCATTAAATGGCTTATTTGTTGAAAGAGCATTCAAAGTAGCCACAAAAAAAATTAGAATGCTCACACAGAGGTATAAAAGAATGCACCCTTTGTTATATTTCATGTTGTACAAGGGTTTTTACCCAATTCCTGAACCATGTTAGAGTGAACCCGTGCTATAAAAGCACCGTGTTATATGGGGATGTTCCCAATTTTAGAACTGTGTTAGAGTGAATCCGTGCTATAGAAGTGCTGTGTTATATGGAGGTTACCTCTATTATATTGTATTAATAAACAAAATTATTTGCTTATTTTTCACTTATGTAAAACCTAACCTTATACCTCACTATAAATGATGATTCGATTTGCGCAGCTTCTCTAGGAACAGAACTGCGGCGTAAATTGAGGGCTAACTGTATATATGTATATATATATAAGCAGTATATTATGTTTTCATTAGGTTGGTTATGGATAACAGTGTCCACTATTTAGAGGTAAATATAATGGATGTCCTATTTGAAGAGTCTGGAGATTGTAAAAATGTTAAATAAAGGTGTCTGCTATTTGGGAGTGTCTGTTAATGGACATTTCGCTGTGTTATAAAAATAGAAACGGACTTTATCTATTGATGATACATACTACAGTAGAGCGTCGTTTATCCGAATCAATTGGGGACTGGGGTGGTTCGGATAACTTATTTTTTGGATAACAAATCACTTACGAAAAAATAATTAATTCATCCCATGTTGAAATTTCTCTCCATTGTGTGTCGCTTTGCGTTGAGTTTTTGTCGATGTTAAGCCTAACAAAGACTATTGTATCGTTAAAAATTTTTTTATTTTGTACGAACAAAATAAATTTATTGAAAAATATAAAAACAATAAAAAATTATACTTCAAATGTTAATTTAGTATCAAAAACGTAAAATATTTGAGTAGCCTGAGAAATAGTCGAAGATTGCAGCGCCACAGCACTAGCGAAAATTTAAATTTGCCGACTGGAATGCTTTTGGATAACCAGCTTTCGGATAAACGACGCTCTACTGTATTTATTTATTGATGATACATACATAACATTGATGATACATTCATACTATTGGTGATACATACTAGGCATTCTCTTTTACTTACACTGCAATTTTTCTCAATCTTAGTGTTCTGGAGAAATATGCTATGAAGAGTGGTCCCTTAGTTGGATATTTTGTTTTTCAGAATGTTTCCTATCCCTTATCTACTAGTATCAGTAAATAAATGTGTGTAATTGAATTTTGTACAGGGTATGTACCTAAAACCAGCTTGGCTATAAGAACAGATTTTAATACTTCAAAAGCTTGTTGATACTTTGATGTCTAGATCCGTTTGACTTTTTCCTTAAAAGTTCGTTCAAGCTTTTTTCTTTAACATAATTTAGAATGAATTGCTGATAGTGACCGACAATAATTGAATGAAACTTTAACATTTGTTCGACGTAGTAAATTCTTTATAGTCTCTATGTTGGTTATCAATGGGAAGTAACTGTCTGGTTTGATAATGAATTCTACTATTTTCGGATCTCGTGAATTGACATTTTTTTTAAACTTCAGATAAAAGTTTTCTTTCAAACATAAGCTGAATGCTTATTCAAAAACATTTAAGGAATCTTAATATCTTGACTAAAAGCATACATCTGATCCAGTGACAGTTCTAAAGATTGATGTCCAACTTTTTAACATTTGATGCCAACAACAATTCTGAATTAACCACTGGCTGGAGTTTGACTATAAACTAGACAATGTTCACATCAACTCTAGTGATGGCTAGCAGCCTTGAAACTCCATGCATGCTGTAATGGTTCCAACAAACCTTGGGTCCTAGCTACCCACCACTTTGTTCCATTTCAGGTACAAACACAGAAAAGACTTTTATGCAAATTCATTCTTATCTGAGTTTGTCATCAAAAGTACAGAAGATCCTTTTGTATTTGTTTAAATTTTCTTGCCTCAAAGTACCTTTCTGTTCCATCTACATCAATAGCCAGTGAACAGGTTTTCAGTACTGTACTTCAAAGATAATTTATAAGACAGAGTAACAAGCCAATGCCAGAAAAAAAATGAGGAATACTTGTGTTCTTTTCCTATAACTTAAAATTACTGAATTACTGTTGTTAATAATAATAATGTTATTTTCTTTAAATATCATTTTTCATTTTTTTAATGTTAGTTTAATAATTTAAAATTTAAAATGTAGTAATGTTTCCAATAGAACAATTATTTACTGATTATTGAAGAATTATTTATCACTTGAAGATTATTATTGGATGAGTTAATTATGATTAATGATTAGCAAATAGTTATTCAATAAATCTCTACTTATATGAAAATTGAGGTCAAACTGTAAATTTAATTCAATTTTTAAAACAAGTTATTTGAATAATTAGATTTATGTCAAATAGCTTTATCTCTAACTTCAAATTCATTTACAGAGCATGTTTTGATTTATCTAACCAAGAAAGATTTTTGATTTGGTTGTTTTGAAAAAAGTTGTGGAAATAATTCATTAATAAAAATATTTGTAGATTTTAAGAATTAATATTTAAAATACACACTCTTGGAAAAAAAGAATTGACACCTTAAAGCCAGCCCTGCATTAGTAATCAAATTCTGCACTTGTAATAAATTTATTTTTTCACTATCATCAAATCATAGCACAAGGATGTATTATTGAAAAAAGTTTCATCACAAATGTTGCATATTAGTAAAGAAATCTCTGACATTTGGTTGCATTCAGCAGACTCAACAGCTTTGTAGCTGTTGAGTCTGCTGTACACCCTCTACAGTAGTGCTGTTTTGATGTTACATTTAATACTATATTTCATTTATGCTACTTTTTGCTAGCTGCACTGATCAATGATGGCTGTGCCCATGCAAGAGAATAAAGATATTAGATATCATCTTTCTCTACATCTTAAATTATTTACAAGGGAATTACATTGTTATTGAATATAAACAAAAAAAAAAATTTCAATTTATATCATAAAATGCAATTGCTAAATCCATCTTTAACTTAAATAAAGAAAGATTTGTATATTTGAAAGTGGAAACTACTACCACACTGCCAACTTCCTATTCTAACATGTCATTCATTATTCGGCAAATCTATAATGCTAAGTAACAGCTACGGATTGAAACACCTTTGTTTAGTTAAAACTGTTCAGTCTTCTAAACACAGCCATTGCATTAGTTGCCAATTTCTGATTTGTAACATTTGTGATGAAACTTTTCATCAATGATGTAGTATTTGCTATGTTGATATGATTTTTTTTCCACTACTGTTTCAAATCTAGAACTTCATTACTATTAAATGCCTGCTTTAAGATGCATTAATTTTTCTGAAGAGTATATTTTTAATATAATTAATACATACTAAAATATGTATTTTATATGTAATATTTTGAATAAAAATAAAATTCAAAATATCTATAATTAGCCAAATAACTATAAAACAACAAAATTCTTTTTCAAAATTTATTCATTTCATCTCGTGTCATTATACAGTATTTATTCTGTTGATAACTAATTTTAATTAAAAACATTCAGTAGTATATTTAATATAAAATACTCTCAAAATATTGACATTTTATCTTTTATTAAACAGGAAAAATAAATAAATAAATTTTTATCTTTTAGTTGTTAAAGTACAAAATTACTTATTGTTGCTATTTTTCAGCAAATGATTCTATATTTTCGAGTGTCAGAACTTCAAGTTCTTCTAGGCTTTGCTGGAAGAAATAAGTCTGGCAAGAAGCAGGAGTTACAAGCAAGAGCTTTAGATTTATTAAAATTAAGATCAGCTCCAATTCAAATGAAAATAAGAGAATTACATAAGTAAGTGATTAAGTAAATTTTTAATTTTGATAATTATGTATTTCAGCTTAATACACTATGATGATGATCACACAAAAAGAAAATATTTATTAAATTGTTATTTTGTCTTTGACTAAAATAAATCACAAAATACATGATTTCAAATTTTTAATATAATTAATCTACTGGTAAATGATATGCTTGCAATTTAAGACATTAACAAATCAACTGAGTTACTATATCTTATTCAAGGTTACAGAAAAATGTATAGTTATATTATTACTACTAGTAGTTGTAAATGATTTTTATTAAAACTCTTATTAATTTTAAAGTTTTTTTTTAATACAACCATATAATTATGAAAAATTTCTAAAATTTCAAGCTTTTGCAAAATAAATTGCTAAAAGGATTTATTTCAAAATAATATCAAACATAAGTGAATAATAATTGTTCTGTAATAAATATTGATTGCTTGATCAGTAGATGTTTTTTAAGCTTTCTCTTGAAAATTGAAGAGTTCTATTTTTTAAACATTAACGTTTTTTAAGTATGGTTTTTGTTTTTACTCTAATCTTAACTACAACACATTAATTATATATTATTCTCATTTATGTCTATTGCATATTTTGAAATGAAGTATTCTAACACATTCAGGATCTTGTCTGCTTCTTTTCTTTTGGCAAATAAAATGGGAAATATTTAAGACAGGTTGGCCAGATTTGGGGTTTTTTCCCTAAATGGAGACTTTTCAAGTCAACTGGAAAAAAATGAGGAGGAGATATTAAGGAGGAATTTTTTTAGGGAATTCTATATTCTCAAAGGCAAATGGGAAATAAATTATTGTTAAATAAAAAATTATATAACTTATTATTAAAAATTAATTGCTTTTAAACTTTTTTATTGCATTCCATTTATTATTAGCTTACTTTAATGGATAAAATTCCAATTAAGCTTGTTAAAATATCTGGTTTGGTACTGGACTTCAGTTCTATAAGGTTTTGCTATTTTATGACATCATCTTGATAATAACTAAAGATATAAAAAGTAAGAGGTATGATCACATTGACTTTGCCTTTAATCTCATTTGTTCCTTAATTCTGCTCATTTATTACATTTATTTGCTTTTTTTATAAAATAAAAATTTTTGATTTATTGGTATAGAAAAACTTTTAACCAAAAGAGTATTATTAAAATGTTTGGGTCAGGTTAGTATTCTCATATTTCATAAACATTGTTTTTTCACATTCTTTGTTTACAGTATAGTATTAGTGATTATTGCAAATTTTTAAAATTAAGAACTAATTTATAAATCGTAATGCTCTTATTAAAATAAGACAATTTGAATTTTTTCATTGGGTATTTCATGTGAAACAGGGATGATACAAATACACATTCACTACAAACCAACAACAATCCAGCATAGAATGAATAGTGCATAAGAACAAATGTTTTTCAAGGATAAGAACAGACATTAACAAGATGGTGGCTTAAGATACTGAAAACATTTGTTCTTATGTACATTTTTATGTCCTTGTCATTCTCTGCTGAATTTTTGGGTATTTAGTGATTGTGTAATATGAATATGCAAAACTTCACTATAAAAGTTTTAAATATAACTTCTGAAATTAATTGTCACTTAAAGTGTAACATATTTGCATTAAGTTACATTTAACTTGAATTAATAAAGTTTTATATACTTCTTCATAATAATTGAATACATATATACAATTATAAACAGTCAAGTATCTAATTCCTAATATAATAATATCAACTAAATATATCATCATCAACTAATGTCTGCATTTATAACTAAGATTTTGTGAAGGCATAATGAAGCAGGTGAAATTTAAGAATTTTTATATCCTTGTTGATCATTTAAAGCATGCAAATATATCTAAATAAATACAGTATTTGATCTATTGTAATATGTACATAAAAGAAAAGAAGAAAAGTGTGACAATCATATTAGGATTTAAAATGAAATTATATGAACTGAAAATACAGTTCATGTGTGTGTTTTTCCCTTAATTTGTTTATATATTAGATATGTTATATATTTTCAAATTATAAAATGTAACAAATCATTGTGAAAATTCAATATATAACACTTCAAAAAATTTTCAATAAAGTGAGGAGTGTAAATTGGTTAAAGTTATATCTGTAATTTAGCCAGTTTCTGTAAATTCAATAATTCTGTAATTTTTGCCTAATTTGGGGATAATTGACTATCTATATGGCAATCTAATGAGGTTGAACAGGCATTGTTTATATGGCACAATATTAGAGATATTTATAATATTTGAAATTTTTTTTATCAATGGGATATTAAAGATCTCAAATACTCTAATACTAGAAAGGCAAAAACTATCAGCAAATATTATCTCTAGTTTATGTATACAGATTTTATAGAAGTTATGTTAAATTGAAAACTCATAACTTATTAAAAAAATACATAAATACTCTAAAACAATATATTTATAACATAGCATTTTAAAAATATATATATTGCAGGAGAAGGTTTCCTGGTGCTTCAATGGCTGCTTCTACAGACTCTAATGATCCTTCACTTATGTGTTCAATGAATCAAGCTGCTTCTCAATTAAAAACTAATCCTTACTCTATGATAAGAACTGGTTTGCCGCCACCACCAACACTTCATCCAACAACTGCTATAGGTTATCCAACATCTGGTGGAAAACAGTTACCACCAACTGTACCTACAAATAGTGGGCATACATCTTATCCAGTTCATCCTGATGTTCGATTAAAGCCACTACCTTTTTATGATATTTTAGCTGAATTATTAAAACCTGCTAGTCTTAGTAAGTAAAATTTCTTTGCTTTAACTTCAATTTATATAATAAAATTTATAATTAAATACTTTTTTGTATTTGTATAAAGTTAACTGTTTTCATTCTTTTAATGTGATTTCACATTTAAGTTGTTTATTTTAAATGATGATAATATGATTTATTTTTCTCCTGCAATAGTGAAAAAAATGTTTTCTTACATTTCTTGACTATATTAACAGAATATCCTTTAGAAGAATTTCTGAAAATTAGTCATCTCATAATTCCTTTGGCACAATATTTTTCTATTCAAATAAAATATTTTGCCATTTTATTTTTATAACAACATTTAAATATGTTTTTTTTTTTCAAGTTTTCAAATAATTTTTATAGTTTAGCATTGTTTATTAAGGTAGCATCTTGCTATATATTACAGTAGAGCATCAATTATCTGACCCCCCCGAAACGCCCAATGACGAGATAATTCATTATTGGTTAACTGACCGTTCTAGTCGGCAAATTCAAATGTCCACTAGTGATGTGGCACTACAATATTTGGCTATGTCTTGGTTACTTTAATAGTATTTTTACGTGTTTTAGCTGGCAACATGGCTCGACCATGAAAGGGAGCCAGTATTTAAACAAGGCTTAATTTTCTAATTTTTAACGATACAATAGCGACAATTATTATTTTAAAAAAATTTTTGTTAGGCTTAACATCGATGAAAATTCAACGCAAAATAGGTTAATAGCGATATACTAATTACATGAGATATACTAATATACTATACTAATAATGTATTTTTTCTTATTTTTTTGGTTATCCGTTTTTTCAGTTATCCGACCAACCCCAGTCCCCAATTGAGTCGGATAATCGATGCTCTACTGTATTTTTAATCATTGTATTTGTGAATTGAGAAACAATTGTTTTTCTTTGTATTGATTTTAAGTTTCATTATATAAGATACAATTAGATTTTTCCCTGACTCTCTATCTTGAGAAAGATTGGAGATGTCAAAAGGAGCAAAATGTATTCAATAGTTGTAATTCAATAGTTGTTCCCATGACATCCTTGAGGAGAAATTGAAAGAAGTCATTATGATTGTTATTATTTTAGCAGAACTGTTAAACTAATATGGCATTTTTATATTCATTATTATTATTCTCTAAGAGATTGGAATATGTTTTTCTGTTATTAATATGATAGATTTCATTAAACTTTAATCTCATATAACAATTGATATGGTCAATTGTTATGAGATTACATACTCTGACCACAGTATATTCTGTAGTCAGAGTAAATCTCTACTCAGTAAACTTTGCAGTTAATGACTGATATATTTGAGTTTTGATGACATTAGAATGCTCCTAAGTTATCCTTTTTTTTTATAAGTAAATCTGCTCTGAAGAGTCATTAAGTTATTGCAATTGCAAAATTCAGTAAGATTATTTCATTTTTGTTTGTGGGATGATGATTAAACAATTTTTTTAGTGTTATCAATATTAATTTTGATGTTTAAAATTTCTGCTAATTAGGATGAAGTTGTTAGGATACCAACATAAAAGTTAGGACAGCCAGATGGCCAAGCAGTTAGGTGTTAGACTACCTCTCAAAAGAATTTTGAATTTTTTTGAGGGTTCATTCCAGATATATTTAGTTCCATTCCTCACCACCTGACCTCTACCCCATTGTGGACCTGGCCAAATCCACTATGGACTTGATTAAAAAAAAAAGGCCCTCTTAGTGTCTGCAGGGTGGAAAGTGTTAAAAATTTCACACACACCTCAAATTTACCAACTTGTATCTTTCCATCAAAAAAAGAAAATATCTATTGATATAATGATAAGGTGCATGCCAAATAATAAATATTAATTTTATTATTAAATAGCATGCTAATCCCTCCATTTCTATCATTTATGGTTGCAGTTAATTTTGTTTTTCCTGTATTAATCATACAGCTTCCACATGGGTTTTAATTAACCACTTGTCATCATGATTTTAATAGATTAGATAGTAAACATGACTGTAAGGATAAATGTTTGTTGGGCAGCAATTTGAATAAATTGTGTTCCTATAAATTTCCACTATCATCAATCTGTCTGTCTTTTTTTAATCTCAAGAATGGTGTTAGATAGATTAAATTCAAGACCAGATATGGAAAGCTCTGCTCCTGATTTAACTATATATGAACTTCTGGTGCAAACCAGAAGTCATTACTTCAATTTAAAAATTTTCCCTGAAATGAGTTAGATAAATTGCATGATTCCATTTTCTCTTATTATCTGATTAGAATCTACTAGCATCATGCTCTTTCTAGCAAAAACACTTTAATATACAAATGTTTTCAGCTACATTCAGAGGCCTGTGTCAGGTTTCAACATTAACTAAATCAAAGGTCTATAACAAAATACAAATATTACTTCAAGGATTATGGCTCCATATTATCTATATTAAATGCTTATTTAATGAAAGAGGCAGTGTGAGTAAAAGAGTGAAAAATTAATACTTTTATTGGCAAAGAAGCTAGGTTAATTCTGCATATGCATGGAGTTTGATTTTTACAAATTCAGAACAAAAATGTGTACTTTTTAATATCGTTCAAATTTAGTTTGAACAGAGAAGATGAAGCTATCCTAATAAAGAACAAAAATGTTTCTTCTTGGTAAATTTAAAAGATTGACTACTTGAAATAAGCGTTTAATGTAAATAACAAAATACAAGTTTGAAATATCTGTATTCTATCGATGTCAGAAGCTTTGAAAATGAATATTTCTTAACTGTACATTTACATAGTCAGAATTATATAAATAACAAAATCAACTGATTAAATATGTTTATATTATAAATAACATAAAATGTTGGAAGAATCTGCTAGTAAATGGTTAGCTCTAGCAGACTTCATTTTTACCTCATTAGCCATTGTAGGTTAATTCAACATTGCTGAGAGGATGTCACATAAAGTTGAGACTGAATTTTGCTCTCTCATATTTATATGGTTTTTTGTGTAATTAATTAATTTGTTGTCTTTTATAAATAATACAGTTGATTTCCAGATAATAGGGCCATTGGTTAATCACATCACGTGGTTATTTGGGACACCATATGATTGCCAGATAATATGCTTATCATCATACAATATGTGATACTTGTGCTAACTCAATAGTAAAGACATGTATTTAATATGATTATTTATTATTATTATTTTTGAAATTTTGTAAAATTTCAGATTCTTGACAAGACAGTTTTTTGCCATTAGTGAATTGAAATTGCTTTAGTTGAAGAAATCAAAATTGTCTAATGTAAGTTACTGTCTGTCAGTACATATATGATGCCAAAATCCACAATCACATGTTTGTATCATATGTGCTCATTCAACATTGAGGAAGTCCTCCATCAGTGATTCTTTTGGAACTGGATAAAGTGTGTATATCAAAGCTAAAAAATAAGAATTAGCTAAGAAGCTGGGAGATAGATTTCAAAGCAACAGATGGCTGGTTTTAGTAATAGAAATTAAGCATGACATTAAATTCAAGAAAGCAAATGATGAGAAGGATAATGTAAGTAATGATGGAAATCCACAAAATTATCCAATTTGCTTAGAAAATTTGTGCAGATGACATCTACAGTTGTATTTTGTAAAATTGGTTGATAAAGTAATAATAAAATAAAGGCTAACCTTCTAAACATCAAAAATGGTATTTAATTGACAAGTTCTTTCAATCTGATACCAGTCATCTATAGTTCAATGCTGACAAAACAAGTCTGTTTTATCAAGCCATGCCAAACTATTCTTTTAACGACAAACATTTGATATTGTTGAATTTAACCTTGAGACCATTGCAAGGACTACTACTGCAGTCTAGCATTACTATTGTTTTTGCTACACAATATCCCTTTGAGATTGAGAGGTGGGGCTTTCAGTACCTTTCAACCAATAGTTACTTTTATAGCTAATCATGCCATTACATTTTGTCACGAGCAGACTGCTGACTACTGTCTTATTTCTTTTTGAATTCTGTTGGACTACACTCATAGCCCATGTGAGTATTGTTGTAATGGCTAATGTAAAACATATGTGTTTAAATTCTACTTGTTAACTCTGATGAGAATGATATAGAAAATGATAGTGACGATGGAGGAGAGAATTTTATAATAGAAGATCTACATGTATCTAACACAGAACAAATTATCAACAAGCCAGAACATGTGGTAGAGGACTAGATTGTTGGTCATCAAGTTTTTCTGATGCAAACTTCTTAAGCAAAGACAATTTCAAGTGGGAGAAAAATAATCCCACTATTATGAAAATACAAAACAATAATCAAATTACAAAAAACTTATTTATTACATTAGTTACTATAGAAGCCTGTAAAATGAATCATTCTGATGGATTTTAATTTATGATTTTATAAAATAACTTATGCTCATATATTAATTTTATTTAATATTACTGGATGTTTGGTAATCAAAATAAGACAAACTTCTAGATGTATTTTAAAGTCTAAACAAAAGACAGTTTATATATTAAATGAATTGTTTGAAACTGTTGGTAAGTTTTGTACAGGCTTTTAAATTAATTTTGTTAGATAATTTTAATAATTACATAATTTATAGTGTTATAAATATTTTTGATAGTAAATTACTTTATCAATTATAAGTAAACATAAGGTCACTAATAACTAATTTACTGACTAATGACCACATAATGACTAATAAGTTCATTAATTAATTAATAGCCCAGTCATTTGTAAATTTAAAAAGTAGCCAGAATGAGTCAATGAAATTCCTTTTACTAAAAATCAAACATTAGATTCAATTTGATTACCATATGATCATATATTAATTTTGAAATTTTTAATATTTTTAGTGCCCTCGGGAAATGGTAGATTTCAAGAAAATAATTTCCAGTTTTTTTTCACACCTAAACAAGCAGGTGACATTGCTATGTCCAGGTAATTATTATTTATTTTTTAACTACCTTTGTACTGTAAGAAAAAGTACAGAAAGATCTTTCAAAAGTTTTTAATATCTTATTATGCATTTCATTAGAAAAATTATAATTACATAAATTGTGATATATTTAATAATTTAGCTTTTTTCTTGTGTGTGTATTTTTGTAAACTACGGAATAATAATTTTTCTGAATGCTGTAAATCTGTGGCAATTATTGGAGCATATTGGTTGCTTCAAAAATAAAGCACAGTTTGTAATGTAAAACCAGATAATCTGCCAAGTTATCATGCTGTAATAGGGCTAAGTTAATAATTACAGTTCAAATCCTACTCTAGGCTGATTTTTCTTTCAGAAAACCTAAATTAAAAAGTAGTTTTTATAATTATTAAAATTACACACACAAGATAGCAGTCTAGCCACCCATTTGTAGACAAATCATTTCATATACAGTTACAGGAAATCAAATAAACAACCCTACTACCTGATGCAATACAATAACCACCAACCACTGCATTCACATGGTAAGCAAAAGTTGCAGGTTCGAGTCTTGCTTCGGGCTGATTTTTTTTCCAGTTTAAACTAAATTATTTAATTAAATATTATAATTATCAATTTTAATACGAGATGGCACCTAATGCCTCCCTCTAGTGCCAAATTCATTTATAATTTATAATTATTTATTCCAAATTATAGCCCAATAATTTACAACAGTGGTTGGTGTGTTATTACAGGAAATCCTCATTAATTTAAACTTGAATAGTTTGAAATCCCTTTAGTTTGTAACTGTATTGTTTGTCCCAGCCATGGATATAGATTTACACATTATGGAATTCAGTTAGTTCAAAATACTACTATTACAATATTACTACAATATTATTACTACTAGTACAATATTATTAATTTAATGAAAGCAGCATTCTGTATATGTAGCCATAATGTGATATTTTCACTTCCAATTTTGTAAATTGGAAGTGAAAATTTGTTTGAACAGTGATGTGTGTATTTTAATTTATTCACTTAGATCAAAGTACCTCCATACTATAAGAGAATAATAGACCAAGAACAACTTTAATCTGGTCAACATGGCTTTGTTTTTACAGTAACACTTTTTCAGGTATCACTTTTTCGTGGACTACCCTTTTTTCTTTTATCCCTAAAATACAGTTGGGTTTTGAGATTGCAAGATTGGATTACAAGTAGCAGATTGAGATATTTGTAGGGATATATGCTATCAGATTTTGGCTTTGGGCTACATTTTGAGTGCTTTGCTTTACTTTTTATAAACCTATCTGGCAAACTGTGAGGTTCTCATTGGACATGTTGTTTGTCTGCAGTTACAATATTATTAATTTAATGAAAGCAGCATTCTGTATATGTAGCCATATTTTATTTGCTTAATAAATTACATCAGTTACTCAGCATTTGGCATATTGTATAAAAATATGTAAATCTTGGATAAATCAAAGTACTGATTTTGTTCCTTGAATTTCAAACTAATGAGAATTTCCTGTACCTTGTTTTTGCTTTAATCTTTTAGTTTTGTAAAACTTTTGTTTCAATATAAATCTATTTAGCATCAAAAGTCAGTTATTTGTTTAGTTAAGATTGTATTAAAAAATTAATAATAATTCTGAAGTTATAAAATATAATTGATGTCAAAATTCAATAATAAATTTATATAGTTATAATATATAAATTTATTAGTTTTAAAATGCTTATATTTCAAAACAAATTTAAAAAAAAAAATAAAGAAGGGATAGTTGATTGAATGCATTAATTTTTTTTTCTTTGATAATTAAAATTTGTTACTAAGATTAAATGTAACTAAATACAAGCTGAACTTATTATTTAAAATGACTGTTGTTGTTCAAAGAATTGTGAATATTTCTAATGAATTTGCATGTTTTATGAGGATTGCCAGTAGTATTACAAGCACAATATGATATATGATTTGTGGGTGTCTGTTACCTGTTAATTATTCATAAAAGTGTTGTTGCAACTTGAAATGTGTGGCATTAAGTGATCTTTTTTTTATGGTTTTTTTTAATAATGTATTGTTTCACACAAAAAAACAACAAAAAAATCTGAAAAGTGCTTTCATAAACAAAGAGAACATATTAATTATTGAAAACAAACTTAAGAATCTTTTATATAATTGTATGTAAACTTAAAAATTGATGCTGTATATAATGAGATTTCAAAAAAATAATTGGAAAAAACCAAAGTTTCTTGGATTTTCTTCAAGTTTCATTTAATATAGATAATTGTGATCTTGAAATGACAAGATTTGATGTACAGTACATTACAATTGAATATAAATCCAAGTTTAAGTAAACTTTTTCAAATTTATGCAAAAATATGTTGTTTAATAGTGCAATGTTATGTATATTCAAAACTATGATGATGATCTTGTTACCATTAAGCAAAAGAGTTTGTAATTAAGATTCACTACAATTTATGTACTGTACATATATCTACCACAACCAATTTAAATGGTTGCTGGAGAATTAAGGTGTAAAATTGTTTAGCTAAATGGAATCGTTTGATATCATTTGATATCATCGTTTGATTCATGGTTTGATATGGCATTACCAGCCAAGAAGTACAGAAAATTGGTTTTGAAGTTAAGTAGGACTAAAGACAAATTGGAATTTTTTTGGTACAAAATTGATGCAAAAATACCAATACAGCATTAATGGTGTTTATCCCTTCTCTCTCCATCATTTACAAACTGTGGTATATGGTTTCCTGCTTAAGAATTTGAAGTAGCTAACTTACAGTTTGTAATATTAGAAGGAGCATGTTCAGGGTCCTACAGACCTGGAAAGTTGGGGAATAAGATTTTTAGCAGAAAGTCAAGGAATCCTCAAATACTGCAGAATCCATCTGTCACTCTCGCTCCTTCTTGATTTTAATACTGTACTGGACCAAAAATAGAATGTGATAAGCAATTTCTCCCTCTCATAGAGTGCGTGATTTTTGTTTAAATTATTTTGAATTTTCCGTCTCCTTGCTTTAATAAAATTTGATTATTTTTTTTTTTGTGGTAGGAGTCATTTTCTTATTTAAATAAAATTTACAAATTAATGTAAATTAAATCATGAATTTTTATATGAAGTAGAAATGATGTAGCTAATTATGTAATTGATTTTTAAGCAAAGTTTTTAATTTTTTGTAAGTGAATAAAATGTGTTTTAATAAAAAAAATTTATATAATTGTGTACAAAATGTTGTTAGACTTGGCCAAATAATACATAATGGAAAAGGGAAATGCAGAGACAATAAGTCAGGGAATAATGTCATAATTGGTCATGTAAAGTCAGGGAATAATGTCATAATTGGTCATGTAAAGTCAGGGAATCACATGTGGAATTACAGTGGTACCTCAGGATACGAAATTAATCCATTCCGAAACTGAGATCGTATCATGGAAATGTCGTAAGGTGAATCATTTTTCCCATACAATTACATGTAAAACCAAATAAATCATTCCAACACGAAAAAAGAACAGTCAAATTAAAGCTAAGTAGTACATTAAAACAAAAAATAACTATAGTAAGGATAACACTAAAAAATGCGTTTTGTTGTTTTAAATGTATACATAACCATAATAGAATAATAATAATTGATAAAAAAAAAAATATATAGTTTTATTTGCACTTTACCTTTGAGGATAGACAACAGTGGAGGTGTAAACTGGTGGCTGAAGAGAGGGAGAAGGGAAATAATACTAAAACTTAACTTACATAACATAATGTAACAATAACTTAGAAAAGATAAAAAAAAATTAGTGTTGTTTTTATATATATATTTAATTTTTTATTCACTGCTTTTTGCTTTCTTTCCTTCACTTCCACCAGCATTTTCACTGGATAGAGGTTGCTTGGTAAAATATCTATCTAAAACCTACTTTTTAAAATGTTTCTAAAATGACTTAGCCAAATGTCATTACTCTGAGCAGCAATACAGCTAGTGTGAACCTTTTTGGGATGTTTCTTTTCAATAAAATTAGTCACTTTCTGATACCTCAAGATTTCCTTTATCGAGCGAGATCCTTCCTCGATGAAGCAAACACCTGGACTGAGACCGATGAACAAAAGTGAATAAAAACTGGCGCTGCAAACTAATGTAACGTCATATGGTGAGTTTTTGTTCGTATCGTGGAGCAAAAATATGTTTGAATTTCATGTCATATCCTGAAAATTTCGTATGCTGGGGTGTTTGTATCCTGAGGTACCATTGTACCTGTATGGACCCTGCATGTTTATCTTCATCAAGAGGTTAGTAGTTTAGAGATTGCTCCTCTTGAGATGGACCCAAAACTATTGTACAGCACATGCCAACTTTAGGATTGTAGATCATAGTAGTACAGTAATACCCTGACTTACTACCCCGACTTACACGAACCCAGAGTTACGCAATTTTCAAATCTCGTTGATTCATCTTTTGTTTGAGCGCGCCACGCAACTCTTGATTACTCACTCCCCCCACACTGTTGTTCAGCTTACATGTTTGGACGTGTCGCGCAGAATTGACACATAGCTACAATTTATTTTGTGTTATTTATTTCTGTGTTTGTTATATCTACGGAGACTTGAGATACTATATGTTGTGATTTCTTGTAACCATGAGCTCGTTAATCTTATTTCGTCTTTTGATTCAAAGCACGAGATAAGATTAACGAGAACATTTATTAGCTTACATACACCTGACTTGGATTTTACACAAATTGCAAAATTATACCCCGACTTACTCATATTCAACTTACGCGGTTATCGCTCGGTCCCACCTATCGCGTAAGTTTGGGGTATTACTGTATTGAAACTTCTATATATTCATGTCAGATCATCACTGGAGAGCAATGACAATTTAGTGTGCTCATATAGAAATACCTTAAGTAAACAAAATTAATTCCCATAATTTATTGTCTCTCGCACACTGAAGTACAACATTTACTTTGACAAAACAGTCAGTTGTTACTTGCTAGCTTATATCTACT